GTTTTTTTTTTTTTTTTTTTTTTTTTTTTTTTTTGTAAAGATTTGTACCGGATTTATCGTAAGCAACAGCACCTTGCTTTTAACCTTTATCTTTATGTATTAAAGATTTTCTTCGTTAAACAGCCACCTCTTTTAGTGTACGGGAACTGTAGTCAGGGATAACAGATTAAAATACACAAATACATATCTAAAACAACTGCATGAATTTTTTTCAACTTTTCTAAACACGTGAACGGGTTGGCTTCAAGACTTACCATTTCCAGCGCGCTTTCTGTTGAAACTTCTGAAAGAATGTGAACCGGCTAATGCCACACCCTAAAAACCATCCTTCTGAATCGACTGCACATAAAACATTATCACTGCACATGCTAGCAGCTTTTTTCGTGCTTTTTTTTTCAGAAATCCCAAGCAACTACAAAAATGACGGACTGAGATTTATAACTTCTGTAGAAAACCAGTATTTCATCATGTAATAGGTTCTATGGGCTAGTTTAAGCGATTGTAATTCGCTTGACATTCAGTACCTTCCCCTCACAGGGGTCTCTGATTGTTACAAAATTGAATAAAATAGTTTGATTAAATTTAGTAACAAACTACACGGACTTCTGTTATCAGAAGGTACACATTCAGTACCCTCTACCAGGGCCGCAGTCATTATTGTGGACATTTTTTGCTGAATCGAAGCCAAAATGACTGTCGTCTTTTTATCTATAGACATATCTGTGAATATCTGTGGAAAATCAATCTGTCACCCTGGTAGAGAGTACACATTCAGTAGGCCTACCTTGTCTAGGCCATATTTAATCTCAGCACTGGTACGGCGGGGCAAGAAGAGAAGAGCTCGCTCTACCATGAACGTTTACATAGCAGGACCTCCGTGAGAACAAAGCAGTTTCGTCGAATAATTCTTTACGGCACTATTTTACCGAGAGAAAAGGATAAGACGTTTCTGTCGATCGATATATCCTGTACACAGTTTAGTGACACATGTGAAGATCAATTAAGAAAAAGATTTATGAAGAAATAGATGACAACGGACAAATATTTAAATGATTACATAAAGAAAAGAATAAACATATAACTATAAACAAGATTTGATGTCTGGCCCGTAGCCAGCAATTGCGAAAGTGGGTGCTTTTTTATGAAAATGTGGGTCTCCTGTCATGAAACCTTTGTTTATCTAGATCAAATTTACTCAGTTTGGACCTTTTCCCAGCAAAAAGGGCAGTTATTTCGAACCCCCCCCCCCTCCCCCTGGCTACGGGCCTAGATCTCAAACCTACCTTGTCGATCTATCTGTCCTGGGTAATGCAGTCAAATATTTAAACAAATAAGAATTAAAATGACGACAATCAAGGAATCCACCACAACTGAATATTTGAAATCTGGGATGAGGGGTTGGCGGCATTACCTCACGTATATAGATTTAGAAATGACATTAGCCGCCACTTGACTAACACTATACAAGTATGCAAAGACCAATCTATGCATAGGTCCACCCAGCCTTTTGATGTATGGGACCCTGATCTTCAGGCACGGAAAACTTTTTGGTCCTTCTTGGCCGCAAATGGGCTCCTCTCTACAGTAGGCCTATATTTATTACTCCACTTATTTACTTTACTGAGATCAGGATAAAATTTGCTGAGATGCATTCTGACTTGGCCCCTGTTTTACAGCATTTTTTTAACGCTGATTCGTCTAGATTATAGTCATGTTTATTGTTGTCTTAATTATTTTCTTTTTGTTATCAACATTTAGGCCTATGGGTTCCTCACGTGTTAAAAATGTAAATAACCCACCAATCACAGGAAATGTGTTTGTGGCGATACGAAAGCACAATTTCTGGTATCACTAAAATGCATACCCATAGACCCCGGAAAGGATGCTAGTTTTAGTCTTTCTGCACATCTGCACATGGGATCTATTGCCCGATAAAACAATTTTTAAGCAATTCTAAGTCGACAGAAGTTATCAGTCGATTTTTTAAAAATAATTTCGATGCATTTTACTTACATTTTAGGAATAGCATTTT